CTTTTGCTAGCTTCACTACTATATGCCGTGGAGTTGGTCTTCTTGCATTGATAAAATTTGGAGATCTATTGGCTTCTGTCACCTGAAGATCCATCTCCCTCACCAGATTTGGGCAGTTCTCAGCCATTATTTCTTTGAATAGGTTTTCTGCCCCTTTCTCCTTCTCTTCTCCCTCTGGTATACCTATAATCCTTACGTTGCATCTCCTAATTGTGTCTGATAATTCTCGGAGAGTTTCTTCATTTCTTTTAAGTCTTGCTTCTCTCTCCTCCTCTGCCTGCAACAATTCTATATTGCCATCTTCCAAATTGCTAATTCTTTCCTCCATATTATCGGCCCTACTGTTCAGAGCATCTAGATTTTTCTTAATCTCCTCTATTGTGTTCTTCATTTCCAGTATTTCTGTTTGGTTCTTCTTTATCGTATCAAACTCTTTTGTGACATAGCTCCTGAACTCGTTGAGTTGTCGGTCAGAATTCTCTCTTAACTCAGTGAGTATTTTAATGATGGCTGTTTTGAAGTCATCATCATTTAGGTTATATATCTCATTTTCTTTGGGATTGTTTTCTGTGTATTTGTTACTTTCTTTCTGTTCTGGAGATTTAATGTATTTTTTCATATTGCTTGATGATGTTGATTTGTGCCTCCGCATGGAGATAGAGTTTAGTTGCTCCTTTCACTTGTTTCAGCTGCTGCGGTGGGGGGAGCAGCTGTTTATACTTCACCAACCAGGAACCCTGTCCGTAGTTGCTAACTGGGCCTGGGCCCCTCTTCGTAGCCACAGTGGCCCTTTGGATTCCCTCCTCTGCCGTGGGGGCCGTCACGGGGGGCTTCAGGCTGCAGGTGCCTACTGTTGTTGCCCACCTAGATGCGCTCTCTCCTTGGGGTCTGCAACGGTGTTATGGGCTTTTCCAGCGGCCAGGGGTGGGATCACTTTTATTTGTCGCTCGGTTGCTGTCGGCACCCACCAAATCTCACTTGTCCTCTATGGGTCGCAGGAGAGCTATTGGCATCTTCTACAGTCTGTGGTTAGTACACCTAGCTATGCTGCTTTTGCCCTGGGGTCTTCCAGCCTTGTGGCTGGCGGCTGGGTGCCTTCTACTGGTGCTGTGCAGAGGCTTTCCCTAAGGCTTCTGTGAGCCTGTAGGGTTTCCCCCTAGGCTACTAAGCTGGGTCTCTGGAACTCTCTCCAGCCCCAGTCCTCTCCGAGATCTCCGGCAATCCCTAGCCTCACCGGGTGGGCAACAGCAGCTGGGGGTCGCCCCGCCCTCTGGGCTTCTCTCTGGGCCTCTGCCGGGAGCTCTGAATGCTCAGCGTGGCCCCTCTGCTACCGGCAGACAGAGAGTTTTGTCTACTGCCTGGCGGAGCTCCGGCGCTTCCCCTCCAGGTCGCCGGACCCGCCTTTGAAAGTTCCCCCGCCCCGGTCCTCTCCGAGATCTCCGGCAATCCCTAGTCCCCCGGGGCGGGCAACGGCAGCTGGGGGTCGCCCCGCCCTCTGGGCTTCTCTCCGGGCCTCTGCCGGGAGCCCTGAGTGCTCAGCGTGGCCCCTCTGCTACCGGTAGACAGAGAGTTTTGTCTGCTGCCTGGCGGAGCTCGGGCGCTTCCCCACCGGGTCGCCGGACCCGCCTTTGAAAGTTCCCCCGCCCCGGTCCTCTCCGAGATCTCCGGCAATCCCTAGTCCCATGGGGCGGGCAACGGCAGCTGGGAGACCTCCGTGCCCTCCGTGTCTCTCTCTGGGACCCTCCGGGCGCTCCGAGCACCAGGCCGGGTCTCCCCGCCAATGGCGGGGAGAGACTCTCCCCACGGGCTCAGGTGTGCAACTCCAAAGTTTCCCTCTGCGTTTAGGAGTAATTGCGGGGGGTTTAAGTAGGGTTCTGGTCACCTGTTTCCACCGTCGCTCCTCTGTTGTGTTCTCGCTCCTGCCCTAGATGTGTGTGGATCCTCTGGGGGCGTCCGTTGGGAGAAAGCCGCTTGCGGGTACTAGGCTGCCCGTCGGGGTCGGAGAGTTTTCACCTATTTCCACATCCTCCCGGAGGAAAGTCCATCCGCCTTCCGATGTATAGTCGCGTGGGTGTCTCAGACGTCCTGAGATGCTGTCTGGATATCCTTTGTCAAGCGATAAGTGTCCAAATAATTGTAGACTCGAAGGGCGAGAGACAAAGAGGACTACTCACGGCGCCATCTTTGGAAGCTGCTGAAGATGATATTTAAGGTGGGGGCTTCAGCCATTTTGGTGAGTTGCTCAAGTTGCCTGAGCTTCTCCCATATATACATGTTATAAAGCTTTGTTTAATTTTCTCCTGTTGTTCTGTCTCATGAATTTAATTTGTTCTCCGGCCAGAAGAACCCAGAGTGGGTAGAGGAAATGACTTCCTCCCCTACAGTTTGGCGGCTTGGATGGGATAAAATTTCACTGGCTGGACACTGCTTGCTCCTGGACTGCTGCAGTCAAGAGATCCCGAACCCCTGACGAGAGCCAGCAAGAGGTAAGAGTTCTTATCATGTCAGTCTCCCACATCTCTGCCTGCAGGGTCCAATGGAAGCAAGCGTGGTGAGTTTTTCTTTGCTCTTCTAAATTTAGATTAGCAGGAGAAAATTTTGGTGAGGCTAGCTTGTTGGATTCAATGACTCTAGGATTTGGTTGAGTACTCATTGATTATAGCTCCTTTTCCTCCTGGAGATAGTACTTTTCCTTGTCTCTGTCTTTTTGTTGTTTGTCGTAAGACACAGGCATCTCTATAAGCCTGTTGTCTGGGCCTTTTGTCTTGTTCTATGTCTTGAGAGCTTGGCTTTGCAATCTTTCTGGTCTCCGCCATCTGGAGGATGCATGTACCGGCACACATCTTGGCAGTCAGTTGTGTAGACTGGGGTTCTGGGACACACTCTCTTTGTTGGGCTGTGTTAGTTCTCAGGGGAGATTGTCATAAGGGGTCACAATTGCTTTCATAAAGGGCCTTTGTCGTCTCAACCTTTGTTGCTTGCTGTGCAATGAAGGTCTTAACTTTCTTAGACTATTTTTGGAAGTGAACTTTCTGGATCTCTTTTGGAGACGTCTCTTGTGTCCATGGTTAAGCTTATTGGTTGAGTCACTGTTAAGATCCTACTCATCAACGTGGCCAGATGATGCATCATTTAAATTCGGAAAACTTCTAAATTGGGGGAAAAAATTGTGAGAGCTCTCATCAAAATTTTTATTGGTACCTATGAAAAGGCCAAATTAAAAAGGAAATACATGCAATGAAATAATGACTAGCTTTAAGACCCTGACTCAGGTTACAATTGAATTGATGAAATATAAAGGTCTAAGTGTTGATGAGATTATAAAGTTTGAAATGCTTGAGCTGATTTTCTTTATAAAGAGGTTATATCAACTTTGCCTGAGTATGTTTTAAAATGTCTGGCTGGGAATACTTCCCTACTCAATAGTATAAGACCAAGACCTATTAAGCAAGTCCTGCCCATGGGTCCTGTCCCCATGCTGCAGCTCTTCGCTGACCATGGGCCCTGTCCTCATGCTATTCTCTGAATAGAGGAGCACTACTTCCAGACCTTGAGAGTCCAAAAAACCTTTCTTTTGCCTCCTCGGCTCGCCAAGCCTTCTTGCTTCACCAGCTTGTGAGGTGAAGTTCTAGTCTTCCTTGTGCCCTTCTCTTTTTCAAGGATGGATCTAAATTCACTTCTCCATTGGGAACCTTCTCAGACAGCTGTATGAATCCATGTTCGCTGCCCATGGCTACTCTATGGGGCAAACCTTGGACTTCAGCCTGAAGAGAATCAGTACCTTAAGCTTGAGGGTGATGGAGAATGAATTAATCCATTCCTTCCTAATTCTATCTCTAATATATAAATTTTACGTGGGCACAGATTGACCACTTAAGTCATTAGGATGGTCACCAATCTCCAAGACTCCCGTGGCAGGTTTCTTTTCCTAAGGCTGGATTGGTATTCCTCCCTATGGCTCCTGACCACACTCCGAACCGCAGGAACATCCCAATCGGGACTCTGGTTCAAGGAAAGTACCAAACTCTAACCTTTGGTTGAGTGTGTCAACCCCTTCTTGGGAGAGTGGCTCCAGGATGCAATTGGGTAGAATGTCGCCCAGACTGGCAGAAAATTCTTCACTGTTTTTCTCTATTCTTTTATCTGTGGGACAATTCACCGGGCACCTATTACTGTCAGGCATGATAGGGCAGGTATACAAGGGATGCAATTCTGGGCGATGCCCCCATCACCCCTTGCTATAGGAACCCCACAGGCAGAATGGGTAGGATGCTGCCCTAGGTTCAGGGGAGATTTTCAAGGTAATGGACCCTTTTCTTTCCTCTCTCTTAAAGTTAGAGTGGCCATTTTGGGCTCCTTTTGAGCTTTGCACTAGAGAAACAAAGAAATCTTTAAAGTGTCAAAGCCTCCACCTCTGGGAGCCCCCTCTCTGGTTTCCGGGCCTGATCACCCCAGCAACCATGTGGGGTGCCCTCTCTTGGCAGTTGACTCATTGAGTATTTTAGGTGCCTACTGAGTCAGTTATGAGGCTAGGAGATCTGTGATTTATCATGTGAACTGTCCTGCCGGTGTTGTGTGCCCAGGCACAGGAACTGTTGTGTGACCTTTACCTTGATAATCCTCAGAAAGAAGCCACAAGGGTGAGGCCTGATCCCTTCTTTTCCCTGCTTTGTATGTCTTGTTTGTCACCTTCTCTCTTGTCACCAAGTCGAGGTTAAGGTCAGGCTGGACCTAACCAGAACCTGGACCTTCTGCACTTAACTCTCAACCCCAGCACAGGGACCCCCGGCCCTAAGCCAGCTCCATGCCTTTACCTCCTGCTTCCCTGCCTCACCTTGTGCTGGCTCAGGGACTAAGAGTCCAGGCTAAGTGGGACTTGACTATATCTTATAACTATGTTGATGCCCACAGTCAGGCTCTGCACCCTTTCTCTGGCTGCTGTCAGTCAGGTACCAGCTTTACTGCCATGGGGAATGCCTCACCCATCCCCAGAGACTCACCCCTCGGGTGCATTTTAACTAGTTGGAAGCGCTTTCAATTGGATGGTTTATACCCCAGAAACTCCATCTGAAGAAACTTGAGTGGTTTCTCTGTGTAGTTGTGATGAAGTTAATTCCAAGGACTGAAAAAAAAAGGGAAAAGGCCATAAGCATGCCATTGCCAAGGAAAAAATCTAGCATCTTGAGTGTCTTCTCCACAAATATTAGGAAAAAGGCTCAAAACAAAATTTGGATTCATAACTATGGAGCTTTGTATTATTGTACCTGATTCATGGCAGTGACTGTTTTAAACAATAGCTGTGGAGACTCTGTGTCTGTGTGTCTACAAGTATGTTACATATGTGTGATTTTACCTCAGGATGCTGTGGCCAAAGCTAAGAGCTCTGTTTAATTGGCTTAAAGTAAGCACTTACATAAATTCTCAATGTGATAGAAATTAACCCAGTGTCTTTTAAGTTAAGACGATATAAATTAATCTTTGGTTAATGAAAGTTTAAGTTTGTTGATTTGATTGAAAAGGCATGTCCTCAAGAGTTGTCAGTATTTGAATATGACGCAGGCATGCAGCCTGGGTTTACTAGTCAAATAAGCTCACGTTGTCTGTTAGAAATTGGTCAGCATAATAGCTTTAAATGATAGCTAATTTTGTCTAATGTCTCATGAAGTTTTTGTGGGTAATCTAAACATTATTATTGGGAACAAGTGATTTAGATATAAATGAAGTAAGAGTCTATAGATAAACTTTTAGCAATAATTATAGTTTATGGCATGTGTATTTAAAATAACTTCCAAAATCTTTTTGGTAACGAAATTCTGAAGCTTTGCTAGGTTAATTTAAATGACAAAATTCATTGAGTATCTCGATCATTTCCAAATAAGATATTAGACATTAATTATTAAATGTAAGTTTATCTACTTTTGGCTTCTTATTACAAAGAGGCTAAAAGCATTTGAGTCTATTAGAAAGCATGCCTTGTATTTTACTGTGAAGTGGCGTGTTTCTAGAAATTATGAAACGTGTTTAAAATGCTAATATAAAAGACAGTTCATAATTGCTTAGTTTTTAGTTTTTACTAGGGTCTGTAAGGTTTAAAATTCTAATTAACATATGTAATTAAAGCTACTGAAAATATAATAAGGAAAACAGCTCTGTATTCAAGGAAAGTAAAATGTGTGTTTTCAGTAAAGAGGGTATAAAGAATAGAAGTATTTTTGTTTGTTGGGTTAAGAAAGATAAATTTGTGCTAAAGTACTAGAAAGGAAGAAAGAAAGCATGGGACAAATTCTGAAGGTAAAAGAAAATTGCATAAGTTTGTGAAGGAGAAATTCTGAAAGGAGGTTTATGCTGGTCAAGTTGACTAAGATTAAGTAAGTTGAATTAAGTCAATGAGTTAAAAAAATAAAATATGTCATCGCAAAAGTTAAAGTTTGGTTTTCTCTCTCAAAAGGATAACTTTCTTGAACTTTTGGCCTGCTCAAAGTCTACTCAAAAGACAGAATCTGTTAAAATAATTTCTTATGTTGAGAAAGAAAGACGTCTCTTAAGAATTTGACTGTTTTAACTGTTTTGCCCTTGACTATTTCTGTTGTCATTTTGAGTATATACCTGAGCAGTGTTTCACAGTGAGCATTGTTTCCTATCTGAACAAACGTTTTAAAACCTTTTGATATTTTTGACTCCCTTCTCCCTCAAAAATATTCAAGTTCTTAATAAAGGCTTTCTTCTGACCTGGATGAAGGCAGAGAGTTTCCCTGGGGATTTTCAGAGGGCCCCTGGGACTTCACAGAGAAATTTGTTCTTTCTTCCTATAAGGAGGAAGATTCTAAACTAATTAGGCTTATTTGGTCTGTTAAATTACATTAGAAGCATTGTCAGATAGTGATGATAATCTTTCTTAGGTGGTATTATGTGGGTAAATGTTATTGATATAAATGTTTTGAAATTATATAACATTTCTAAAATTCTGATATGTCCTGGTTATCAGGCATAATTCTGCTTATTTTAAAGTGTTGTATTTCACAAAATTAACCAAATATCTCTGGCAATTGTCATTTTTGAGTCTTTTGTCATTTATAGACAGTTATTGTTTTACTCTGATGCTTTCTGCTTTTGCAAATATGTCTCATCTTCAGAGAGATTCATGGAAAGGACACTGACACTCTGGTATACATGTTTCTGATAAACTTTCAGATCATAGAACTGAACTGGGTAAGAAATTACAGAAATCTAATGGAGAAACTGATGACCTCATAAAACTGCTAACAGAAGATTAAGACCAAGAATCGGTTGTACAGAACTGAATGAACTTATGAGGCTGATTATAATTTTTATGACTTTTATTTGAAATATTGTTGATTTTTTTGATGTTTTGTTTTGTTTTCTCAGATTTAAGGAAATCTCTTTTTCCTCTTTTCTCTTACGCTAGCTATGACTTAGAGCAATTTGGTGAAATTATACCTTTGTGAGCAAAACTGAACCATTTAGCTTTTTCTCCCTACCTGATCCCTCCAGAATTTGGAAACTTAGTGAGCGAGTGAGTATGGTTATTTCATGGCAATATAGTTATTTGCGTAAGTTCAATAAGAATCTGTTCTCCTTATAACAGGGCACATTTGTTATCTTACCAAAGCTTTGACTGGAATGTCATATTTGAGAGAAACATACAGACTCGGATATGACAGTACTGCCTTTGAGGAATAAGGTTGACTTTCTGAAAATAAAGCCACTTGGAAGTATAGGCCTGGTACCTTGTTTACAGAGAGAGATTCCAGCAATCTTAACTGGTAAATAAGGAAGCTCACTTATCTGGCAGGTGCAAGGAACCTCAAAATATTTTGGGGAATCTCAAGAGAAGAGAGAAATTCATCCAAATCTGTAGGTACTGCAGGCAAAATCTGATGGCAAGTCCTTGGCTTAGCTTTTCTGTTCTCAAGAGGTCTTTAAAGTTCAATCTGAGATTCCTCATAAAAAAATTACAGCAAAGCAGATTTAAGAGCCTATATGATCAACTGCTATTCTTGCTGCACTTATGTAAATAATTGGGCCAAGTTTATTGAAATTAAACTTATATTGCAAACCAATTAGTCTTAATTTGGCTATCTTTTGTAAAAGTGAGGGTGATTTTAGGGAGAAAAATTATGTTTCAGTAAAAAGCTATAATACACATTTGTGGATATTAGATCCTAGTTCTGTTAATTGTCTTTGAGGTTTTTCTTTCTACCTGTGAACTGGACTGGATCCTGAATACTTCTCCTGAAATATCTGGTTACAAATCTCCAAACTAATGTTTTCCATTTTTTCCTTCATTTTCATTTGGAATCATTGAGAATTGAACATACGCTTTTTCCTGAGCCTTGCAACCTAAAGCTGAACAGCTTGATATAAACTCGAGAAATTTCTGTCTGTTGCTGTGTAAGCTGTAAACCAATCAGAAAGATACCTGAATGCCTGATGACGTCATCAGAGACATTTCAAGCTGCAAAAGATGTTCTGGCTCTGACATCTAGAAGTCTTCTTGACTGGCTGCCCCCTGCACTCAGGAACTGGTTTATAATTTGCTCCAACCATTAACCTTGTTTTTCTTTTTATTTCCATAGTAATACTTATTAAATACCTTATTTCTTGCTTCCAAAATATAGGGCTAACTTTGGAAGCTCCCCCCCAACCCCCGTATCACCACCTTCTAAAATGTATTTAACTGGACTGATCTATTACCAGGACTAAAAAAATGTGTTCAGTGAGGTGAAATAATCTACCACTCAGCTTCCAGACTATGAAACTTCTTAAAGTTTCAAAGGACTGTGAAACTTAAAAGTTTCAAAGGCGGGACTATGGGTGACTGGAATTGGCCATCCCAAGATATGTCTCTTTGGCATGAGCATTATTTGGCACTGGTTACTTTTAAAAACTGCAGGCAGGAAAGAAACTCTGAGAAGTAGAATTTACTTACCCTTTGTTAAGTGACATTTACATTGTAAAGGAAATCTCCATCTGCAAAGGTGTCTCCCTCTCTCTACCAGAGATTACCTGTTATGCTGTCTCATGTGAATTTAATTCATTCTCCAGCCAGAAGAACCCAGACCGGGTAGAGGAAATGTCTTCCTCTCCTACATATACATGGGAGAGGCTCAGGAAAACTGAGAAGCTCACCAAAATGGCTGAAGCCACCACCTTAAATATCATCTTCAGCTAAAGACAAAGGAGGATGTTGGGGGTGGGGGTGTCAGTTACGGGAAATTACCAGACAAGCACAGTAAACAAGAGTCAGGTTATTATGCAGATTTAAGTCCTTGCCTTCTGCATTGATGAGAGTTTCTAGAGATAAGGTCATCCCTCCTTCTTCCTGTGCGGAGAGGGAGACAACTTTGCAGAGGGAGATTTCCTTTACAATGTAAATGTCTCTTAACAAAGGGTAAGTAAACTCTGCTTTTCAGAGTTCCTTTCCTGTCTGCAGTTTTTAAAAGTAACCAGCCCAAAATAATCCTCATGCCAAAGAGATGCATCTTGGGGTGGCCAATTCCAGTCCCCCACAGAAGCAAATAACCTGTCTTTCAGTTTACGGGGCACCAGGCCACAAGAAGCCATGTCTGCACTGATGGAGAGGTGGTGCCTGTAGCACAACAGTGAAAGGCCCTGGGCCTTAAGCTGGATGCAGTAACTAGACAAGATCTGGGGGTCTTGCCATAGGAACGGAGGTAGGTGTTCTCTATGTGGGAAGAACAGTGTCCATGGAAGTTGGGGAGCCACAGTGACAGACTCAGCAGACATTGCTAGCAGCCTTCCCAGTACTCATTCTCCCCTCTGTGTTGGTGACATATCCCTATGCTATACAAGGTGGGGATTGCCAGTCAAAAGACCACATTTCCCTTGCAGGTAGTTATGACCATGTGACTAAATTCTGACCAATGAGATGCAAGCAGAAGATTTTGTGTGATCTTTGTAGGGAGATTCCTTTTTTGCCCTTTTCCCTCTTCCCCCATCATTCCTAACTAGAATGTGACCCTGATGAGTGGAGCTCCAGACATTGTGTTGGTCCATGAGGAGACCTGAAACTGGAAAATAATGTGGTAAGAATGCAGAACATAGATACAGTCTGCCATATTTGCTCATCTCCAGATTTCTACTGTGGAAGGGGGAAAAGCTTTAAATTTTGTTTAAGCTACTGGTTTTACACATCCTCTTCTCCTGCTAGAAGCTGAACAAAGTTCTTAACTGATTCAAGCTCATCACTTATACTGTCTGAGTCTCAGTTTCAGCAACTATAAAATGGGGATAAAAAAACCTACATCTGAAATTTTTTGAGAATTTACATGTAATAATGTATGTAAAAAGCCCAGCCCAATATCCATCACACAACAATTGCTAAGTAAACAGAACCTGTTACTTCATTTACTACTATCATTATTATTATTATATAGTTATTAGTTCTTGCCAGGATCCAAACACAGCCAAGCCCTTGTGGTTGCATTTTATAATCGTATTAACTCTTAGCACTTTAACATTAGCTATAGAGAGACTCAAAGCACCAGAAGGGAGGACAGGAATATTTTGTTTGAGCTCAAGCATCAGGAAAATTTACTGCAAGCAGCAAAAAAACTGAGAGCCATGTCAGCAAACCTTTTCCACAAAGGTCCAGATAGGAAACATTTTAGCTTTGCAAGTGATACCATCTGTGCCGCAGGCACTCAACAATGCAGTCATAGCACAGGAGCAGCATAGGCCATATGTAAATGAATGAGCATGGCTGTGTTCCAATAAAACTTTATTTACAAAAATAGGTGATGGGCTGGATTTGGCCAGTGCACTGTGGTGCTGACCCCTGGCAGAGAGGGATGCACTGTGAGAGAGATACAAAGCAGACCTGGAGGAGTCTCTAATTCTATAGCCATGTGTCCCAAGGGCCGAGTGGGGCACAGAGGCCTGGTGACCTGCTCTTGCTGGTCACCTTGTCCCCTTCCTAGGGCTCTTAGAACAGGTCACACCCAGCCTGCAGCCCCCTGGTCATGGAGCATTTCCTTCCCCACCCCCCACTCCACTTCACCTACTAGCTTGCATTCATCCTTCAGTTCCCAGCCTGGACACTTAAATGTCGTACCTTTCAGAAAACCTTCCTGATCCCCTGCCAGGGTGAGGAGCCCTGGCCAGTGGTTCCACCCTCTGACCCTTCAGACTGGCTGTCTCCTTCTTCAGACTCCTATGTGTCACTAACTCTGTGTGTAGCTGTTGAGAGGACATGACATCACTGGGTGCTCATAATGCTCAGGGTTAATCAGGGAGGGCTCCTGGGAGAGGTAAGCTTTAAGCTGGAGGTCAGATAAGAGGGGGAGCTTGGCTGGATGTGAGGCAGAAGAAGCAGGCCTCCAGGTCCCAGGGTCAGGACTAGGGTGCAGGTTGGCCCTGAACCCCAGCAGGTGGTGTCTGCCAGTCCAAAGTCTGTGAGCACCCCACCAAAAGGAGGTGTCTCCAGCAGGCTGTTAACCTTGGTAATGAAAAGCACAACTTTATGAGCATCAAAAATTGGCTAAACTTATTAATTTTATCCATAATAGAAAATTAATGGTTGGGATGAATGAGCCAGCAGCAGTAAGGACCTCTGGTTTCGAATATGCAGGAGAAGCATGGAATCACTTCCTAATGTGGATGGTTCCTTTCCTTTTATTACACTGCAGCAGAAATAAATTTTAACTGTCTTCTTTTTTTCAGGGGAGTATTTGGTTTTCAGTTCCAGGAATTTCCTTTTTACCCAGAGGAGGGAAGATAGCATGGCCAGAAAGCTTTCGTTTTCCCTCACCCCTCAACCTCTGTTCTCCCCTCTCACGCATCATCAGGATGGAAAGGTTCCCTGGTCCTACCTCTAGTGATGAAGGAGCTGTGGTCAAGCCTCCTGTGGCGTTTGTGCAGCCCACGGGGGTCTGCTTTTCCTTGTTTTGTCCTAACCCGTCAGCATGACTCTAGAAGCTGAGCCTTGGAGAATGGAGTTGGGGAAGGAAAATAGAAATGGAGAGTAGAAGAAATGATGAAAAGAAGGAAGGGAGGAGGAGGGAGGGAGGGAAGGAGGGAACGTGGTCGTGGGAACATTTATTGAGAGGTTGATATGAGCTAAACACATTAGGGGGTTTACCTATTTAATCTCATTTAATTTTACAACAATCCTTTGGGATTGGCACTATTTACCCTGCTTTGGAGATGAAGAAACTGAGTCTCAGAGAAGATAAGTAAAGTCGGAAAACATGTGAGCCACATCCCGCCGGTGTGGCTGGTGTGGACAGACACCCCATGCTGTCCCTTGGCCCCTCTCCTCTGTGCTGACTGCATTCTAGCATCCAGGCCCCCCTGGGAACAAGAGTGCAGTGACCAGTGGATGCGCAGACAAGGCATGGCTAGGTAGCACCAACTGTATAGCCAAGGGGAAGGAAGAAAGTGTCTCCAGAGAGGGGCAAACACAGATTCATAGGAGCTTCTTACCATCCACACAAATGTGTCCTAGTCCCTCTGATGGGTCAGCAAGCCCCTGCAGCCTCAAGGCCTCCTGTAGCCAAGCACCCCAGCCCCAACAGTTTGCACTGTAATGTGAAATGTTTGGTTAAGAAACCATATGCTTTTTGCAGGATCACACAGACTCAGAAGGCAACAGCTGCTTGCCTTGCCTGAAAATGCCTTGTGATGGTGACTCCAGGACACAGCAAGTCCCTTCAAGGAGCACGTACGTGGCCAGTAATGGTTACCTTTGGGAGAAGGAAAACATGATGGGAGATGAATTGCTTCAGGAAAGCTGACCCTCCTCTTACCTTCTACAATAGAAAAGTGGTGGATTTTGGCCCAGTGTGGATCCCGCTGGTGCAGTGTGGGTTGAATTAAGAGCATGGGCTTCAGTGTTGGGAAGATTAGGCTCAAATCCATACCCTCACCTTCACTGTCTGTTACTTCAGATAAGACGCTTAACTCTTTGAGCCCCAGGCTCCATGTCCATAGATGTAGCAACAATACTACACAGTGATTGTGAGACTTAAAGAGGCAACAAATGTGAGGAATTCAGCACAAGCGCCCAGTACCTACAGGCACAGAAAATGAAGTCTTGCTATTATTGGGACGTGTGGGAGGTTGTTTGCTTGGTGGGACACAATTCTTAGCATGCATTCTTCGCCTATAAGCATCCTATTTCACCTGTCATCAAGACATCATTGAAATATGGCTCCTTCTCCCAAAATCCAGGAAATCAAGGTCAGCTGGACTTATACAATGTCTTTCTTGCAACTTCTCTCACCATTCACCCTAACCTCCCCTCCTGCCACAGCAAGTGCAGCATGTCATGACTGACAGCAAGTTTGGAAAACAGAAGAGTTTCACAGGGCACTTACGGTCTCCACCAAGTGTACCCTACAACAGGCCACTAAGATCACGCCTCAGAAACGTGGAAAAGCTTTGAGTCAGCCTTGTTCGATTTGACGTTTAGGTGCTTTACTCTTGTTCTCTTAGAATATATCTCTTTTGTAAGTGAGTTGGTGTAGTGTTCGAATCCAGAAGGAATGATTCTTGACTCCCCTTTGTAAGCTCTCAGGAGCATAAGAAATCGGTTGACAATTTCCGGTTGTCAAATTTTTCTAAGAGCATGAATGCTTCCAGCATAGAATCCCCCAGGTGTGAACTGGCCTGAAAGCTTTTACACCATCCTTTGCAAGGAAGATAAGAAGCTTTTCTGTGAAAGAGAGCTAGTTGTTGCTCGTTCACAGCATGGCTTCCAGGTATATGATCACGGTAATCAGGAAGGGCGTTACGTGGCTTAACACTTTCAGTAAAAGATCTTTGAGAAAAGATTCTGAAAAGCATTGCTCCAGTTGTTGACACACCCAAGAGTTGATTCCCACCTTGCTCTCAGGGTCCCTGATGAACGCTCTTGAAAACATACAGAACTGCAAGTCATCTTACTTTAGACCTCTTGAGTTAACTCTCATAGGAATTGTTAAGGTCGTGACTCTGCCAATCTCTGGACTTAATTCTGGTGGGTTTTAGATGCCATTCACCCTTCAGGTGGTTCATCTGCTCATAGAGTAGGTTCTCGGCAGTCTTAAATCTACTAGCAAAGTGAGGATGTAAATCTTCAAATGGCTTGAGCCCACTGTTAATAATTCTGAATAATCTGGAAATTTCGAGTGCCTGCATTACTTGGAGTTGATTGACCCTTGTTTTAAAATGTACCCAGAATTTGTTATAATCAGGCCTATTAAGCCCATAAGATCAGGAGATGATCACCATTGAAAAGATAGTTACTCACGTTCCCAAGAGGAGGTCACACAGTGCACCACACAGGGCCACACAGGGAAGCACCAGGAGCCAGAAGGAGCAAGAGGAAAATGAGGTGAACAAAAGCTGTGGCTGTGGCTGTGTGGGAAGGGATGAGTGAGGCCGATGAAGTGGCTGAATAGGCTTGGAGTTGGATAGTTTGAGGACTGTGCCAGGCTCTGGGCTGTGGGGGTGTCTCCAGTTGTCCAGTACCTGGCCCAGGGTGACTTAGGGCAGGGAGATAGAGTCCCAGACTGATGAAATGAGGCAGATGGGGGTACGGGCTCTGAATTTGTTGGTTTGCATATCAAAGGTGTACTCTATCTCCAGGAATTGGCTAACTCTGGGAGGGGCAGTTTCTCCCCAGTTCCACAAGGGTCCAAGATGTCAAAGCATCGTAAAACACAGAAAATAAAAAATGTGATTAATACAACCCTTTGCAATGACTTGCTATCCTTAGGTCATATTTACACTTGAATTATAAAATATTTTATGAGTGGTATTATTAGTATTATAATTGCTATACACAGTCTTTCTGTCTATTGGCTTCTTTTAGGCCATTACCAATATAATGCTTGATTTGGTCAAGAGAAAGCATTAAATTACTCTCCGCATAAGCCTTACAAGGTGGCCCTGAATCTTCTTATCCAGCAGTTTTCGAGTGTGCAAGACTGAGGTGAAAGTAAGTTTCTGCCGTGTGAACAGCCTGCCTTCAGTGAGCCGTTTGTTCTTTAGGGAAGGCTTTGTCTCTCCATTGCCTGATGCTGCTGGTGGGAAACACACTTTCAGCAAACCCACAGTCCTTTCAGTGCCTTGGCTAAAGGAAGGAGAAGGAGAGAAAGGAGACCGAGCGAAGGCGCTGGGACGGGCTTGGTGCCATAGAGCAGGAAGAGCCAGGCTCTTGATTTCTGTGCTCTGAGGCTGGAGGAGCCTCCTCAGTCTGGACCCCAGGAATCTGACTGACCAGGAACACCCCGTCAGCATACTCCACAGCAGTGCTGTCCCCCAGAGACAGCACTGCCTTACCAACTGGAATCACAGGCACACACAGGAAATGCTTCTTATTTCACAAAATAACACTCAACTTTGAATGTTGGGGTTTGGTTTGGGTCTTGTTTTATTTTATTTGTGAGAAAGATCTGCCCTAACCTCACATCCGTGCCAGTCCTCCTCCACTTTGTATGTGGGACACCTCTACAGCATGGTTGACGAATGGAGTAGGTCCGCACCCGGGATCGGAACCCGTGAACCCCGGCCGCCGAAGCAGAGCACGTGGAACTGCAACCACTCAGCCACGATGCCGGCCCCTGTTTTTGTCTTTAATTCTGTCTATAACCTACCAAATTGATTTCATAACCAATAATGGATTTTACTGCAGTTTGAAAACCCTGCTGTAAAGAAGCTCAAAGGCTTCCAGAAGACTTGACCAAATGCCAGAGCCAATAGCTTACTGGTCATTTATTTTTAATTAAATATCTTTAGTTTTCATTATAATGACACTTTTTGAGTGTAAAAATTCCAGCAATATGAAATTTGCCCTAAAAAAGGAGAGGGAAAAACCTCCCACGCTGGAGATATCTGCCGTTTACGTCCAGTGACCCTCCTTCCAGAGTGTCCCCTTGCAGATACGTGCACATGTGCATATAATTTTCTACAGGTGGGGTCATCCGACACACGCTGTCCTGTGACCTTGTTTCATGCAAAATGTTCTTCAGGCATTTTCACTTTAAGCACCATGTTTAAGAGTTACAGTGCTTTGTCGTAAAGATCTGCCATGATCTGCTCCACCAACTCAGGGCTGATAGGCCCTCTGGCTGTTGCCATTATTTTGTGATTATGGACAATAACTTTATGAACATCCTTGCGTGCATATCTTTTTGCACTGCTGTAATTCCCTAC